GACTGCCCCAGTCAGCGCTTCTGGGAGGAACCAGCACATGGCATCAGTCACCTCCATTTGCCACCTCAACAAAACTAAATACTGCTCTCAGGTAAGCTAAGCACCTTGACTGAAGCTCAGTTCTGGACACTATGGGGGAAAAGTTCTAGGAGATGGGTACAATAGCAGGTAATGCACATACTCCCTGGACACAGGCACCTGTAGCCTGCTCTGACCCAGTAGAACAGGCTGAACACTTGTTGGGGGTTAGGTGTCCTTTTTTTAGTTCTGGCTCGCCTGTGGAATTTTTACCCATTAGTTGCGGGAAACTTCACTGCGGGTACTTGGTGGGTGCTCGACAAAAGACAAAGAGTTCAGCTGGGCCCAGGGGGGGAAGGGGGCAGGGAAAGGGGAGGCTGGGGACAGTTTGGCGGCTTCTTCAGTTTCGGGGAAAGACATTTTGGGCGTGGAGCTGTTGCAGTGGGGAGAAGGGAATTTCGCCATCACCCAGACGGAGCTGCTGCTTCTTCTCCTTCTCCCCTCTTGGCTGGTGGCCTCACACACCCTGTCCTGCCGGGACGTGTGGCAGTGCCAGGCACCGCCGCGGAGCTGCTGATACACCTCAGCCACCAGCCCAGGATTTCAGCTCATCCCTGCTGATCCACCTCAGCCACCAGCCCAGGATCTCAGCTCATCCCTGCTGATCCACCTCAGCCACCGGCCCAGGATCTCTGCTCATCCCTGCTGATCCAGCTGAGTGTTCCTCAGAGCCCTGCAGGAGCACCAGGACTGCCCGAGGGGTTTGTGAAAACAAAGCCTCTCCTCCACCCCTTCCCGTCTCAGCCGAGAAGGCTGTCACGGGGTCCCTGGTTCTGTTTTCTTGTTAATGCTGTAGTTATTGTTGTTTGTTTGCCTTGTTATAAATACTAGTAAAGAACTGTTATTCCTATCCCCAGATCTCTGCCTGAGAGCTCCTTGATTTCAGAATTATAATAATTTGGAGGGAGGGGGTCTAAATTTTTCATTCATGGGGAGGCTCCTGCCCTCCCTAGCAGACACCTGTCTTCTAAAACCAAGACAACACTCCTTAATGCTTCTTTTGGGCACATGATACAAGTATAAAATTCCTTGGATATAAACACACTGAGTCAGCCAAGATTTCCTGTTTCTTGAGGAACCTCAAGTATAGGTAGGTAGTACAGCTTAAGAGACAGAGCACTCTAGCTTCTAAACTTGACTCTGGATGTTCAAGGAGAGGAGCCATTGCAGGACAGAGAAGGTAGAAGGAAAATGTGGAAGTTTTTTGTATTTCTGCTGTTATTCCTCACAGGACTCCTGTGCATGTCTAGGTAAGAACCAGGTCTGCAAGTCTGCCAGGAGCCTCATTGAGAAACCTTCACTTAATTAGATTCACACTGACATAAATAAAAACAGAATAAAGAGCCAAACCATTTTTTGTCTGAAGGAGCAGTACCTCAAAAATCACCAGCAATAGGATTTCAAATTGCATCAGCCACATACCTTACCTATTATCACACAAAGCAGAACAATGTGACACAAATCAGAAGCTGAGCGTGACACAGCCTTGGGCTGCTTTGCCATGTCCCATCATCCAAGCCCTGTTTCCACAGGAATGTGGCAGAACTCCTTGCACTGATCATGCTGTATGGAAATACAGGAGAAAAGCCAGGAAAAATGCTGCACAGCCAGCACGGCCCTTCCTGCTGAGACCAGGGCACGTGAATGCTGCTGCACCTCCCTGTTTCAGGACACGATTCTCCAAGGTGCCGTTTCCCAGCTGATGGCAGCCGGCTCCCCATCCCCACAGCCTCCTGCCCTCGCCCTGCAGGCAGCACCAGGAGCTGCCAGCTGGAAGAACAGGGCACGGTGCCCGGTCCTGCAGCTCCAGTGGTGACATTCAACTGCTGCTACTTGTGTTTCCTTCTGGGAGATATTTATGGTTAACTCAAGGTTTGTGCTGAAAATCAACACTTTTCCCTACCAAAGCAAGCTTTGGGATTAGAAACATCTTGAAATAACGCATATTTTATTCCTGAAGCAGATGGGACTATGCCCTTAATGTGCCTCTTCAAACCCAGCTGTGCATTCTGCTCTCCCTCCCTCACCCTCCTCTACTCTGACTGCCACAATCCACCCAGTGTGGGGAGTTCTCCTCAGCTTCTTACAGCTGGCTTGATAATGAAAGACATTCAGAGAGTTACCAGACCATTTCTCCCTGTCATACCACAGTGCCTTAACCTCAGCTTGTTCCAGGTGATCTCAGGAATCTGTGACCAAGTAACCCTCAGCTGCAGATCATCTGCCAGGTGGTAGCTGTTTAAACAAGAATACAGGCACTTCCAGTTCTTAATTTAGAGGCTTAACCCTCCAAAAATTCAGATTACATGAGTTAGGTAAATGCAAAAATATTTTCTAGGATACCTGTGATGGGTTTCCTCTGTGTCATCTCACATGAGGTACTTCCTTGCAATACACTCTCTGTTTCACAGCCCTAAGATCCCAGATTTTCTGAGAAATGCCAGACGAAGCTCTGTCTTCCTAGGAGTGGTGCTGGCCTGCAACCCCTTCCTGCTTTAGTTCCACTTTGCACACATGGCTTCACCCCTATAAACATTTCTTTACTTCACACAAGCCTCAGCAAATCCTTGTCCTATAGGTACTCATCCCCTACAGCTGTGCAGATAGATAATGAAATAGACTGTGATGAGTAGACCCTGTAATGCAAAATTAAATGTCCAATTAGGTCTTGATAAGAAATGTGAAATAAAACATATCAAACAGGACAAAATAATCAATTTCCCATTAAATTAAGTGGTTACATTTTTTTCTGACTCTCAATGTTAAAAGCATCACTTGCACACATAATTTACTTGTTTACAGTCTGATTCAGAGTTCAAAGAAAAAACTTGCACATACAGAATATGAATTATCTTAATGATCAGAGGAAAAAAACCCAGTGTCCTGCAGGTATCTCCAGGCTGACTTTGAGAAATGTTATCAGTGTGTGCTGGGGAAAATTGCATTTTGTGCTGTCTGGGAGAAGGAAGTGATTTTGAAGCAGCCTGCTACTTAAAGGAAGAAGTAATCTCAAATGGTGCAGAAGGTATGGAGCTGAATTTGGGAAAAAACATGTAGATGTTTGGATGAAAAGTAAATATACGACCTCAAAAGATTTGCCTTTGTGAATACAGCCAGAGGATACTAGGCTGGTACAACAAAATGTGTCCTTCGCTGAGTTTATGCAAGCAGTTACACAGCATGAGCAAAAAAAACGAGGAAAAGCTGCTTGTAGAAGAATTTAGGAGAAGCAGGCACAAGCATGACTTCTCTTTAATTTCAGCTTGTTAACAGTGTCTTAGTTTTATGTGTTTATCTTCCAGCTGTGATGCACATAGGGTTATTTTAAGGTAACACCCAGAAACATTTGTTTTGTAGGCAGTGGTGATCCTTGACCCCTGGCACTGAGCCGTGCTTGCAGGCCTGCAGGTCTCTGATGCTACACTTCCACCTCCACAACCAAGACAATGAATTGCTGGTAAGCTGCACGTGGTTTAAACAATGGTAACAGCAGCCTGTGGGCTATAGACACCAAATCTCAGCAGCAGGGCAAGGGAAGGGAGATTTCTGCAAGGAGATAGAGAGTATGTCTAAATCCTGACATAGAGAAAGAACAGTGTGACACCTGGTGAGAAATAACCCTGCAAAGCCATCTTTCTGAATGGGCAGCCATATACACATAAAAAAAGCATGGAAAGATATCTGTGAAAAACGAGGTTCACATAATTTTTATAGAATTTAAAAGTTTAATAAAAAAAAAACAATTAGGAGAAAAAAATAAAGTATACAGATATGGCCGGGTGTCTCTGCATTCAGCCAAGAGAGCACACCTTACTGACAAAGGATTGCCCCTTAAAAACAGAATCCTACTACATATCCATAAATTCTCATATATATTCATACATTCTTCTTAGGATCTTTGGTGTTCTTCTGTTTAGTTTTCTCTTGCCCCCTTCCCAATAGATCAATCTTCTTGGTGCCATCGAGATTTACATTCCCTGATATCAGAAATGCAATAAATTCCTCCCCCCAGAGTTCTGGTCACTGCTGTCTTCATCTGGATAAGAGAGTTTACAAAAGAAAAAAAGGGTCTCCAGCTATCTTTTTCAGTCTTTGGGTTATACAGACAAAAGTAGTTTTTATTTTAATGCTATGTCATAGCTTAACATGTATGTATTATACCACTATTTCTAACAGAAATAAAGGAAACTATGTTAATACAAAAAAATTTCCCATTCTTATACACATAACACTCATTTTAATATTTGTGAAAAGCCAACAATATAATATGTAACTATAACAATATCCAAGCTACCTCTTTTATCTTCCTCCATAACCTGCAGTGGAAGCACATCTGAAGAAGCTAAGGCAAAGAAGTGCTTTGAAAAGATGAGCACAGCACCTAATACTTCAGTAGAATCTCCTTCTGAAGCTGTAGCAGTTTGCTCATGTTTGCCTGTGCTCTAAACCTTTGCACATTGTTCTTAGAGCCAAACATGGACCACATTATTTTGTGTTGCAAAGTAGACACTGAAAAGAAAATATATGGAGAGACAACAATGAGCCCTTTAATGGTTACAGGCATCTTTCATCTTAAACCCTTAGAGTTCAAAGTCAATTCCAGCTGTCTTGGATTGCCTCTTGCCTGTATAGATTCTGTAAATAAAGTGTTAACTCAGAGCCCCTAGCTGTGATCAGGAATGTATCACGTTTGGTTTTGCACCAAGCTCTAGTCTCTAGAGTACTGGCTAAGCCCCAGGGCACTGGGCTTTTGGGTGCTACTTTGTACATATATTTATCTTTTTGTGAACATCTATTTCACCGGATGGAGGGGTGGGGCACTCCTAGCATTGACTTTGTTCATTTTACATTCCTTTACCCTGTTCCCCCTTTCTACAATAGCTGCAATATAATGTTTCAGTAGAGCAAGGCTTTGCAAATTTGGCTCAATGAGACACAGAGCAAAGAGCTTTTCAGAGAGCTTCAATTCAGCTGTCAGAAGGGGCAGTTTGGTCTCTGTGCAAGCAGTACTCACATTCCAAACTGCATTAGAAAAAAGCTGCTGGGGTTTTATGCATTTTTTATAAGTTCCAGATTATGCGTCTGATACTAATTTTTTCTTAAAGCCTGTATTTGGAGTACAGCTTATATTCTAAAGCAAACCCAGGACTGTGATGTTTTTCTCTCACTAGCTTGCCCTTGTTTTTGTTTCCTTTTTTTCCCTCTCCCTGGCTTTACTCCAAGGACCTTTTCTGCTCTTTGTTACACTCTGGAGATGAAGCACCGGATGGTTACAGCAGTGCTGGTAGCACTGGTAGCGGTTTCACAGAGTTTCCCTGCCTTGTACCACCGAGGCTGGTGGAGGTTGCTAAGGGAAGGAGATAGTTGTGGAAAATGTGATTTGGCACTCTGCTCTGAGCCCAAGGACTGTCCAGCCGGGACTGTGCTGGATCGCTGCAGCTGCTGTCTGGAATGTGGGAACGTGGAAGGTCAGATCTGCGACTTGGACCAGGGCAATCATTTTTATGGGCAATGTGGGAATCACCTTGAGTGCAGGCTGGATGCTGATGAAGAAAAGTTTGGGGAAGTCCCTGAACCCCAGTGTGTGTGCAAATCTCAAGAGAGCATCTGTGGATCTGATGGGAAAACCTATGAAAACATCTGTCAGTTCAACAAGGGTTATGCTGCAAAAAGAAACATCAGCATGAAACATAAAGGGCCATGTGAATCAGGTAATGTGTACAGAAGCACTTACAAACTGAAAAAAAAAGAGCAGATTTTTATCTTCAAATATGTTACTAGCTACTCTAACCTAACTTCATTAAACTAATACTGTGTTTTTGTTACAATTATTATTATTCCGTTATAACACTATGTTGTGTTAAAAGTGTTTCAGTATCTGGTACTTAACCTTGTCTGTTACAAACCTCTATATTAGTCTACTGGATTAAATCTAATGATGACTAGGCATCAGTCTACAACTTGGGTCTGTTCTGAGTAATTAGAGTATGATTGCTATAATCAGAGTATGATTTTGTTTCCTACAGAAGTTGTATGCATAGTAGGGAATTGGTGAACAGGATAGTCTGAGAGGAATGGGCAAATGATTGTGATTGTAATAGGACTGACTTAATTTTAAAGTGCTGATTGCAAAGCAGATTTCATTAATTAGATAGATAGATAGATAGATAGATAGATAGATAGATAGATAGATAGATAGATCGATCCTGTGTATACATACACACACACAGGTACATGTATGCATGTGTGTATGTATGTGTGCATGTGTATCCACCTGTGAGGATACATGGTATGCTGTGAAGCAGGGGCAGTAGAAGAATATAGGGTTTAATTAACAGCTCTGTCCTTTCTACCAAAAAGGTCCAAAATAATCCAATTCAGAATCATCATAAAATCTAGCTAACCTATGAAAGAGAAATCCAAATAGCTGAGCAGAATCAAGCTGAAACAATTTCCTTAAATGACTCTTAAAATGCACAGTTGTCTCTGATGATTGTTAGTGGGAGGATTCAGTACAGGGGACTCCTGCTCCCTGCTCATATGCTGTTCCCATTCTTTGCATTACTACAAATCATTACTCCTGGGCATCTTTCACTTTATACACGACTATAAAATGAAAATGTGAAGAGGCTTTTGTTTGTTTCTAAATGAGAATTTACTGTGGTTTTCTAAGTTAATCAAGTATTTTCTCAAATGAAGTAAGTAGAAGAGGTCAGTGGGTCACAGTTCTGGGAATCTGAAATTGCAGCTCTGGCAAAGGACCTAATATGGGAGTAACTCGGGTATATTTCACCCACTCCTCTCTAGCAGCCTTAGACTGCTGTGCTTTTATATTGAATGAACAAGGGATATTGAACTCTTAGAAAAAGTGATGAACAGTTAATATCAGGAAATTCTTTCCTCTCTCTCTAGCTGTAAGAGAGAGATCCATTACAGAATCCTTCATTTGCTATCAGGATATTAAGCTGGGAAACAAGGCTTGTCAGGAAAGGGAGGTGCCCGCCAGCCTGCAGTACAACTGAGAGCCTGTTAGCTCGGGAAGGAGCCCTTGCTTGGATTAAGTAGCAGCAGTTCTTGTGGGCATAACCCCTCCAGCAAGATTTCGGCCAGAAGTGCCACTCCCTTAGCGAGTGCCGCTAATTTTAGAGCAGGGGCAGCTGCTCAGGCACACACGCTTAGAGCAGTGGTTCCTCTAATTAATTTAACAGAACTGGCAGCGTACAAGAGACGTTTTAATTTGGAAGTACTATCACTTTTAGTTGCTGCTGTCATCCAACAGCCCCCAGTCTACCCCGAGGCGCAACGCACTGCTGCTCCTCCAGCAGGAGGAGGATCCTGGCTGCTCTGTTCTGCAAGCAGGCATCAACCCAGCGCTTTCCCACTGATCCCCTGGCTCCCCAGAAAGGCTGGAGCCTCTTTCCGGGAATGCAGAGTCATCCTAACCGCTCAGCTTACTGAAATGCACAGAAGCCTGCGGAGAGTTCACAGACGTGTCACTGCAGCGCAGAGCTTAGCTAAGAAAGAGGCTGTGGCGGGGGAAAACACCCAGCTGGAGCACGGCCGAGCTGGGCAGGGCGCTAGAGCTTGGGCAGGGCGCTGGGCTGGCAGCGACGGGGTCCCGAATGTGCTTCTGCTGCCCCCGAGCTGCTGCTCCCCACGCTGGCTCGGCAGCCTTGGAGCCCGGCCGGAGCCCGGCGGTCGGAGGCGAGCGGAGAGGCTGCAGAGGGGCTCGGAGGGGCTGCAGAGGGGCTCGGAGAGGCTGCAGAGGGGCTGGGAGAGGCTGCAGAGGGGCTCGGAGAGGATGCAGAGGGGCTCGGAGGGGCTGGGAGGGGCTGCA